CATTTAGATTGTTTCCGTCTTTTGTCTATTGTGAAAAACAGTGCCATGAACATTGGTGTACACGTTTCTGTTTTTATTCCTGCTTTTACTTTTTCTGGGTATATTCCTAGGATTGGGATTGCTGGGTCATATGATAGTTTTACGTTCAACTTTTTGAGGAACCACCAAACTGTTTTCTACAGTGGCTGTATCATTTTACATTCCCACTGGCAATGTATGAAGGTTCCAATTTCTCCACATTCTTGCCAATACCTGTTGTTTTCTGTTTTCCTGATCATTGCCATTCTAATATGGGTGAGGGGATAGCTCGTTGTGGTTTTGATTTGCATTTCCTAATGGATAATGGCATTGGACATCTTTTCATGTGCTTGTTGGACATTTGAATATCTTCTCTGGTGAAATATCTGTTCAAGTCTTTTGCCCATATTTTGATTGGGTTGTTTGACTTTTTATGGTTAAATTTTAGAAGGTTTTTATATATTTTGGATATTAGGTCCTTATCAGATATATGATTTCTGAATATTTTGTCCCAATCTGTAGGTTGTCTTTTCATTTTGTTGATAAAGTCCTTTGATGAGCAAAAATATTTCATTTTTATGAGGTCCCATTTATCTATTTTGTCTTTTGCTGCTTGTGCTTTTGTTGTTATATTGATAATCCATTGTTAAATACTAGATTCCACAGCCATGCCCCTATATTTTCTTTTAAGAATTTTATGGTTTTAGTTTTCACATTTAGGTCCTTGATCCATTTTGAATGGTTTTTGTGTATGGTGTGAGGCAAGGATCCTGATTCATTCTTCTGCATGTGGAAATCCAATTTTCCTAGCACCATTTATTGAAGAGACTCTTCCTTCTCCATTGAATGGACTTAGCACCCTTGTTGAAAATCAGTTGACCATAGGTGTATGGATTTATTTCTGGACTTTCAATTCTATTACATTGATCTATATATCTATTATTATACCAGTACCAGGCTGTTTTAATTACTTTAGCTTTATAGTATGTTTTGAAATCAGGAAGTGTGAGTTCTCTTACTTTATTCTTCTTCTTCAAGATTGTTTTAACTATTTGGGGTTGCTTGCCCTTCCAAATAAATTGAGGATGGGGGCTTTCCCATTTCTCTAAGTTTATGGCAAACTAATTTGATGCAAACTCTGGCTTGAACTGACATAAGGCTATTTGTAATCTTCATTTAATCTCACATAGTGTGAAATTCATATGTTTTGCTGCAGAAATATTCATGTGAATGTGTTTGATTACAAGATATTGCCCCAGAGCCCACTGGAGGCATTATGTAATATATGATACATGCTCCAATAACCTTTCTAAAATATGAAAAATTCTGAATTTCAAAGTTGATCTGGCCCCAATGGTTTTGGAAAAGGATATGTAGACAATTAAAATTTTGTTGTGAATAAAGAGAAACTGTGACTGGAAGAAACGCTCAAAATACTACCTACTGGTTTGACTATGGGTACTTTTTAAAATCTTTTTGGTAATTTTCTGCACTTTCTGATTTGAAATAATTACAAACATATCACAGAAAAAAAAAATTGGATTTTGAACTTGTTCTTTGGATCCCAAGTTGAATTTTGAACAGTACAAGTTCTATCTTGAGTGACTGGTTCAGCAATTTACAAGGCTACATACATTAGTGTTCTTACAACAAATGGCAATGATACAATTAGAGTTTCCAGAGTAACTAATTATGTTAGCTATAATTTTGCTTTATACCCCATATTAATGAGTAAGATTAATTTGGCAACAACATCATAGTTTCTCAAAGTTCAAATCATCTTTGATTTTGATGTGTTTATGTTGAAAAGGTAAATTCTGACATTAAAAAATTATGTTTTATGAGTAACTTGTATAGTACGTTTAAAAGTGATTATTTGAAACTTATAGCTGCTTGCCCTTGCTCTAGTCTCTCATTTATCATGATAAATCAAAAAATAAAATAAAGAATTGAGAGCTGACATGTTTGTTTTTTGATATTAGTTGCTGTGAAAGTTACTCTTGGGAGTAATATTTCATCTTTGAATCAAGTCATAAATAACAGATAAGACAAATGGAGACTGTCTTTTAACAATAAGGCATTTTAATTTTATCCTTATAAAATATTTCCTGTAAGACATAAAAACAGTGCCTGGAATGATAAATACTTCTGATTTTGTGAATGAGGACTTGGCAGTTAAGGAGAAAGATGTTAGTTTTTAATATTTATTTCCATCCCCCTTCTTACATATTAATTTATTCCCCAAATTAAAACCAAATTATCTATTGCTGTATTTTTCCTACCAATTTTTTCCTCCCTTTGTCCTGTTATTAGTAGGTGGCCTACACTCTGAATATTAATTTTAGTTATGGAATATTATTGAATATAAATAATATCACATGTCATGGAATTGAGGAATGAATCTGATTTGTTTTATACATTTCCTTAGCTGTCATATTCCATCAGTAGTATCTTGTACTGTCAATTGTACTTTAATGTACATGTCCTGCTTTCCTACACAGACTGTATATGTTCTTTGGAGAAAGGGATGATTCTTACATTATTTTATAGTCTCAACATTTAACTTAACCGTGTTGGCTGTTGAAGACAATTTTAGCAAAGTTACTTTTATTAAAGATTCAAGGAATTTTTTTATATTGCATTTACCCATGTCCTGTTAAGTTTGAATCTCCAAATATAGAGAAAAATTTAAAGCGTACAATTCAGTGACTTTTAGTATATTCACAGAGTTGTGTGACCATCACCACAATCAAATTTAGAACATTTTTTATTACCCCAAAAAGAAACCCTGAACCCATTAGCAGTTACTCCCCTCCCCCTTTACCTCCCCATCTCCATCCCCAACTATTAATCTGCTTTCTGTCCTATGGATTTGCCTAAACATTTCATATACACGGAATCATACAATACGTGGTCATTTTTGACTCATTTGTGAATGACTTCTTTCACTTTGCATAATATTTTCAGGGTTCATCTATGTTGTAGCATGGCTGAATAACATTCCTTTTTATGGCCGAATAATATTCTATTGTAGAGATACATCAAATTTTATTTACCTATTCATCAGTTGATAGATATTAAGATTGTTTCCACTTTTTGGCTATTGTGAATGCTGGTAAATGCTTTACAACCACCAGTTAGGGGGGAAAAGTCCTGATTTATAGCATTTGCTGATTTTTGTGGTGTTATCATTCCCATTATGGCTGATTTTAAGCTACCAACATGATGTCACCCAACATGGATTTGGAAAGAGATGCTAAAATAGGCTCCTGTGAGTCCCTATAAGTCAGCTCCAGTACACAGCTGACCATCTTCACTGGTCAATCACTTAGATGACCAGAGATGTGGCCACATGCAGTAAGGTTTCCACATGCCATTATTTTAGGATAATAATAATGATAATAATAAAAATAAACAGCTAATATATATTGAGCACTATCTATGTGCCAGGCACTGTGTTAAGCATTTTTTTCTTTATTTAATTCTTAATAACCACTTATCCCCTCAGTAGCCAGCATCTCCAAACTACCAATATTCTATGCTTTGGCTCACTATCAGAAATTACTCAACTCTTCAGTGGTTCCTCATTTGTAAAATGGGATAAAAATAGTCCCTACATCATGGATCTGTTGTGAGGGTTAAATTACTATATTACTTTAAAGTGATCGACACACAGCAAGTACTCAGTACACCTTTATCTGCATAGCTCTGAGGACATCTTCCAGGGGCAGGATGGTGGGAAACTGTGCCTGCCATATGGAAGCCCTGTGAAGGTCTTTACCTGACTGCTCTGTGGCTTTTTTATTGCTGTGATCACCAGCATTCTTTAAGAGCACTTCCAGGTTGTCCTGCCGTCCCAGGGAACAGGATGGTGCTTCAGCCGCTTTTGTTTCCCACAGAAGAGGATTCCCCTTAGGCTCAAGAAAGTGTTATCAGACTGCACCTCTTCCCTGGCAAATCACCTGCGGCTTTAACCACTAGGTTTGGAAAAGGCCCAAGGGAAACCTGATGTTATTCTCAGCCTGACTAGCTGAGACAAGCCAGATCCTGAGCATCCCCAGGGCAGGAGAAAGAAGAGCCTCCCATACAGGAGAAGTCGTTAAACACATGCCCCATGTCCCAGAACCTTGAGAGTAAAGGAAGTATTGGTGGCCTTGTGGGGGCAGAGTGGAGAAAGGAGATGGTAAATCATTCAGGAAAGGAAGAGAAACAACCAAGTATGCAGGACTGGTTGGAAGGAAGCCCCCTAAGACCCTCAAATCCACTCTGCTGTATGCCCTTGCAAGGCAGGGTTTCCCTAATCCATGTAACTGTGTTTCACCTCCTCCCCCACTCCCCCTTCCTTCTCCTCCCCCGTAGGTCAATGAATTTGGTTAAACTCATGAAGTGTTCACATAGGGAACTTCATTGGCTAGTTTCGGGGAAATTCAGTTCCATTAATATTTACTGAACGCCCACAAAGTGCTGGGCAGTGCTAGTGGACAGTCCCAGGAATCCAGGGAACCAACAATCCACAGTCACATCCCAGAAAAATAACCCTGCCCTTCTCCGAGCATCTTCATTTCCTCAGAGTCTGCTGCTGGGTTCTGATCCCTGCAAAACATCAACACTTCCTTGCACTTGAGCTCCCATCAGGCTCCTGCTGGGCCTCCTTGAAATGCTGAAGGATTAAGGGGGTAGGGAATAGGGAGGGTTGAGTAGGTAGAAGGACCGAGCCGGGAGAAACAAAGTGCGTTTCCCCCTTCTAATCGTGTTCCAATCCGCAGTCTACCGCGTTCCCAGGCTCCGATTCAGGCAGTCCAGAGACTTTTCCAGGAACCGCCTGGCATCCTGGGCCATGGACTTTGGCTCGTTGGGCTCCGGGTCTTTCTCCTCCCACCTCCCACTTCCCTCCAAGGCTCGGTGCCTCACTCGGGGGCGTGTCTTGCCCTCCCTCCCTTTCACAGTGGTCCACTCATCCGGTTACAGCAGCAGCAGCGGCAGCAGCCAGAGTCAGAGCAGCGATAGCTCCGTGTTTCCAGAACAGGAGCCGTGACACCGGCAGCAGCTCAGTGCGGGGCACCTGTGTGGAGCAGGAGCGGCAGGACGAGAGGGTGGGGTTTGTGCCAGCCACTCTCTGAGCCAGAGAAGGAAGGGGCGCCTCCCAGTTGGGATTCCACTGCTCAGTATCATCTCCGGCTGGCAGGAGAGGTGGCACTGAGCTGGGAATACTGGTGGGAGACATGTGCAGGCCCAGCTAGAGGGCTCAGGGCATGTAACCATTGGGCCAAAGTGTAGAGAAGCAGCTACAGCGGTGTCTGGGACCATGACAGCCCCTCGCCTGGATTTTGGGCAGGTGGAAAGTTTCCTGGACAGGCACCCAGAGTTGTTTGAAGATTACCTGATGCGGAAGGGGAAGCAGGAGATGGTGGAGAAGTGGCTGCAGAGGCACGGTCATGGTCAGGGGGCTTTAGGCCACAGGCCCGCTCTGGCTGGCACCAGCAGCTTGGCTCATGGAGGTGGCAGAGGCAGCAGCATCGTTGGTGGTGGCACTGGACCAAGCGACTCTGCCAACAACCAGCCTACTCCTGGTGGCGGGGACCGTAGTGGGGTTCCTTTGAGTCCCAGCTGGGCCAGTAGCTGCGGGGGTGACGGGAGCCTGCAGCGGAGAGCTTCTCAGAAAGAGCTAAGGAAGAGTTTTGCTCGCTCCAAGGCCATCCATGTGAACAGGACCTACGATGAACAGGTGACCTCCCGGGCCCAAGAGCCCCTGAGCAGTGTGCGGCGGAGGGCACTCCTCCGGAAGGCGAGCTCTCTACCCCCCACCACAGCCCACATTCTCAGTGCCCTACTGGAATCAAGGGTGAATCTGCCTCAGTACCCCCCTACGGCCATCGATTACAAGTGCCATCTCAAAAAGCACAATGAGCGTCAGTTCTTCCTGGAACTGGTCAAGGATATCTCCAATGACCTTGACCTCACCAGCCTGAGCTACAAGATCCTCATCTTTGTCTGCCTTATGGTGGACGCTGACCGCTGCTCTCTCTTCTTGGTGGAAGGGGCAGCTGCTGGCAAGAAGAGCTTGGTCTCCAAATTCTTTGATGTGCATGCAGGAACCCCACTGCTGCCCTGCAGCAGCACAGAGAACTCAAATGAGGTGCAGGTCCCCTGGGGCAAAGGCATCATTGGCTATGTCGGGGAGCATGGAGAAACGGTCAACATTCCTGATGCCTACCAGGTAGGACTGTCTATTGTCCTCTTCTCCCAGAACCGCTTTGGCTTGGGAGCCAATTCTTCAGTTACCCTTTGGCATCCAAGAATACAATATGAACCCTGCCATTTAAATTGCTTCTTGAATTTAGAATAGTTAGAATGTTACTACACCATCTTTGATGTAATGGTCTTTTCATAATACACAGTGGTTTATGGAAATACCTATATCATATATTTTGTACCCAAATAATACCACTTGATTCTCTGTCAAGATACTTGTCCTTAAGAATGTCAGTGTGTGGTTTTAGAATGCATTTGTGAGTTGTTAGAAAAGATGTCTACTACAGACTTCTGGTGTTAATCTGAAGAAAATGGGTATTTGGTATCTCTAATATTTTTTGGGACCATAATCCATAATGCATTTATTTTCTCTAATTCAGGGTTGGAAAAGGAACAAAGTGCCCAGCTTCTTCTGTATCACATTATTTAGCTTTAAGTTGCTTGAGTTCCGAAGTAGAGAAGAAGAGAAAAAGAGGAGGAAAGTTAGGGAAGAATGGGCCTTTGACCCATTTGTGCTTTTTTAGCTCCTAAATTAACTGTTTCTGTTGCTGAGTTTAGAGAGATTGGACAGGTAGAGGGATTAGTTATCTTCAGGCTTGTATGGGAATCAGAATTATCTATGGTCAGCTTTTGACAGGACTGAGCAAGTAGGTTTTCATAGTATGTGAGACAAACAAAAATTATATTGATAATGCTTTAGCAGCTCCAAAGGCAAACAGCAGGGGAAACATGCTAGTTTCAAGTGGAAAAGGAAACTCAACATGCTGCCGTCTGGTGTTTCTAAGCATTTCATTTTCACTGTGATTTGAACTTGATATTAGATGCTGGAGCTGAAAGCCAGTCAGTTCTAATTTCTTCAGTATTTATTCACTGAACGTGATGAAACTGCATGTCATTTTCTATGAGACTTCTGTAGGATTCCTAAGAACTGAAAATTCTTATCCTTGGTTGTGAAAGTTTTGTAGTCATTTGATGAGCACTTCTCCCATGCATCCCACAGAGCTACATGTTTCTCTAGAGTTCGGTTGCTGTTGATCAGAATAGCAAAAGTGGTGGGAGGGACACTAAAGGTAAAATTTTCTCTATTTCACCTGAAAAAATAACAACTTTACATAGAACATTTACTAGCTTTACTAAAACCAAGTGTCATATTTTTATGAGATGTCTATCAACATAGCACTTTAATATTAAGTGATACTTGTGAAAATACCACTTTTATTGACCTTTCATTATTGATTAGATGCATTATTCATTATATCCTATTTAAGACTTTGATAGGTTTAGGTCAAGCAACCAATTAATATTCTTCAACCAGTGTGTTTTTCTACAATCCTATAAAGCCATGGAAAGAAATAAAAGCATTTAGTATTTGATATTCTGAAGATTCTGTAAAAAATTAGTGAACAATCACTAAACTTTTCTTTCCCATTCTTTCCACATCCTTATTGTGTGCTTGGGCTGAAAAAAAAAAGAAAAAAAAAAACCTTTCTATACTCGTTATAGCCTGAAAGTGCAATCTTTTCTCTTTATTGCCTTCATTTTTTATTCTTCCCCAATTGATTTTCTCCCCTTTCTGTAGCTTTTATTTCTTACTGTCCTCTTTCAGCACCTAACTTTTATTTAATACTATTCATATACTGTCCTTTTCTTCAAAAGCATAATTCCTGGCTTCCTCGGCAGTTAAACTTGTCTTCCTGCTGCCTAGAATTGTGGCTGTAGGTGTTATCATAGGCATAGAAAATCAGAATTTCAGCAGCTAATGTGTCCCCTGAGCCCTCCCCTTATGCTACAGGTAGAGTATAAAGCAAAGGTGCTTTTTAAATGCTGGAAGCTGACATTGGGGAAAGGGGGTATTTTTTCCTTCCCACCTCCCCAGGGTAGTAATGATGGCTGTGAAGAAGCCTGGGTTGTTGGGAGGACTGGAAAAAGGCAGGTAGAGATGGCTGTTGTTCAGGTTGGGAGCTTAAGATCTTGGTTCACCTCTTGCTTTCATTTGAACTATCTATCATTAGAAAGTTTTTTTATTCTTTTTTCATTGGCTTTTACTATATATTTCTAACTTTGTATGCTTTTTTTCATTTTATGTTCTCTTCTTTGATAAAGCTACTTTTCCTCTTAAAATGATTATCCACAGTCACCATTAGTTTCTCCCTACTTTCACCCACAAAGACTTTTATATAATTTTCCTTGTTTGTTGCCTTCTTGTGTTTTAGTGGTTGCTCTGTTACCCTGAAGGGTAATGAAGTATCATTGGAGTCAGATGAGCCTAGATTAGACACTATATACAACCTCTCACTACCTGTGTAATTTTGGGAATTTCTAATCTCTTGGAGTCTCAATTTCCTCATCCACAAAAAATGGAAATAATAACTCCTACCATGCAAAAGATTATTGCGGTGAAAATTAAATGAGATATTATATTAAAGGCCCTAAAACAGTACTGGCATATTGCAATTATTCAGGAAATGGTAACAGTTGATGATGATGATGATACCTAGTTTGTTAGTATTCTTTTTATTATCTCATTTTCGATGATTCTTCTCCTTAACTGGGAGTGAGATGCGAACTCAGCACATTTTGACCAGCCTAACCTTTCCCTGAGCCATGCCCTACTCTTTAGTAGGTACTTTAGAACCAGCTTTGCTTTCAATGTATATAGAATTCCTATCCTTCCACCCTTCATTTAAGAGTCTTCTAAATGTGATTGATAACACCTGACCATATTTTATCCTCTCAAGAGTTTTACACTTTGTTGTTCTTAGCAACTCATGCAGTGTGAACTTTTGATAGAGTTTTAGTAATGTTCATCCTTCCCCATTCTAGCATTTCGACCCATCCTTTTCATTTCCTAATTTATATTATTTCTCACTGAAAATTGACAACCTTCCAAATGCGTGTTCCTTTATCATATGGTTGTTGTTGTGATTTTTATCATACATATAAGCATCCTGAAGGTTTTTTTTTTTTTTATTATACTTTAGATGAAGGTTTACATTACAGATGAGCTTCTCATTAAGCAGTTAGTACATACAGTGTTTTATGACATTGGTTAACAACCCCATGACATGTCAGCATTCTCCTGTCTCGATGTTGGGTTCCGTACTACCAGCTTTCCTGTCCCCTCCTGCCTTCTAGTCCTTGCCCCTGAGCTGGTGTGCCCCTTTAGTCTTGTTTTGTTTTATGGGCCTGTCTAATCTTTGGCTGAAGGGTGAACCTCAGGAGTGACTTCATTACTGAGCTGAAAAGGTATCCAGGGGCCATACTCTCGGTATTTCTTCAGTCTCTGTCATGCCAGTAAGTCTGGTCTCTTTTTGTGGGTTAGAATTTTGTTCTACATTTTTCTCCACCTCTGTCCAGGACCCTCTGTTGTGATCCCTGTGGTGGTAGCTGGTCACCATCTAGTTGTGCTGGACTCAGTCTGGTGGAGGCCATGGTAGTTGTGGTCCATTAGTCCTTTGGACTAATCTTTCCCTTCTATCTTTGGTTTCCTTCATTCTCCTTTGCTCCCGAAGGGGTGAGACCAGTGGAGTATCTTAGATGGCTGCTTACAGGCTTTTAAGATCCTAGACACTACTCACCAAAGTAGGATGTAGAACATTTTTTTTATAGAATACATTATGCCACTTGAGCTAGATATTCCCCGAGACCATGGTCCCCACAGCCCCCAGCCCAGCTGTTCGGTTCCTCAGGGAGTTTGGATGTGCCTATGGAGCTTCCATTACCTTGCCTTGGACAAGTTGTGCTCCTCCTGAAGTTTTTATATAAAAGTATAACCATCATCCCAGATTCTTTATTAACTACTATGTTTTTTTTTTCTGAATTTAATTTATTTTGTTGTTGTTGATGAGAATATACATAGCAAAACACACCAATTCAACAGTTTCTACATGTACAATTTAGTGACTGTCTTAGTCATCTAAAGGTTTAAGGTTTAAAGATTATCTCAGGGCAATAGTTTCAGGAGTTCATCTACCCTCCATGGTTCCATGAGCATTTTAAATTTTGTTCTGCATTTCCCCCCTTTTGATCAGGATTCTTGTATGGAATCTTTGATCAAAATGTTCAGTTCTTCTGGTCTCGTGGCAAAGGAGGCAGTTGTTCATGAAGGCAGTTAGTTACACATTCCATATCTTCCTCCTATTCCTGACTCTTTTTTTCCTCAGTTGCTCCAGGTGAATAGAGACCAATTGTTGTCTCTTGGCTGGTTGTTTGCAAGCTTTTAAGACCCCAGGCACTACACAGTGAACTGGGAGATAGAACAGAAGCGCTAAATATGTTATTGGTCCAATTAACTGGGATGTCTCATGAAACCATGACCCTAAACCTCCAAACCAAGAAATCTAATCCCCTGAGGTATTTGTTTGTACAGAAGCAGCCTTAGCAGCTACTCTTTTTTTTTTGTCATTGTTGTAAATGCATCTATCACACAACTTTTGCCAATTCAACTTTTTACAAGTATACAACTTGTTGACAGCAATTTCAGTAATTGGCTGTGCAAACTTACCCTTAATCAATGCAATTTTTCCATCACCATCACCTTCCCTTCTCCTCCTCCCTGCCACCCCTGGTAACCAGTAATAAACTTTGGTCTCTGTACATTTGTCTTTTCTTGTCTTTTTATATAAGTGGGGGCAAACAATATTTGCCCTTTTGTGATTGGTTTATTTCATTCAGTATAATGTCATCAAGCTCCACTGATATTGTAGCATGTATCAAGACTTCATTTCTCCTACTGGCTGAGTAGTATTCCTTTGTATGTATGTACCACATTTTGTTTATCCATTTATCTGTTGATGGACATTTAGGTTATTTCCACCTTTTGCCTATTGTGAATAGTGCTGCAGTGAACATTGGTGTACAAGTCTCTTTTTGAGTCTCTGCTTTCAAGTCTTTTGGGAGTGGAATTGCTGGGCCATACGGTAGTTCTAGGGGCCCTGGTGGCAACACAGTGGTTAAGTGCTTGGC